GGAGTCGTCATCGGTAGCACTTCCAACCTACAATGAGCAATCGGGGCGATTCGGAAAGACCAGGATGTCTTCATCGGAGGCCTCCTTGTGGATCAGAGAGCTGCTTTGTCTTACAGGCGCGTCAGAAAAGGAGGCCAACCGCGTCTCCAGTCATGGTTTGAAGGCCACTCTTCTGTCGTGGGGGGCGAAATCAGGGAAGTTTTCAGCCACGGAGCAGCGGTGCCTCGGACACCATGTTGACCCTGAGATGAGGTCAGTGCTCATATATTCACGGGACTCTTATGCTCCCCTGGCTGCCAAGATACGAATCATGCTTGACAGCATCCTTTCAGGTGCATTCAGTCCGGACGCACCACGGCATGTGCGCATCGATGATCTTGTGAGGGAAGCCTTGTCAGATAGCTCGTGTTCAGATGCCAGCGATTTTGGCACATGTGCAAACACAATTCTTAGGAAAGAGAGCTCCGTCCCCCTCCCAGTCCCAGAGGGATTGGGAAACGCAACGAGGGATCAGATATATGTACATGCTGCCTCTGGCATAGCGCATGCGAGTTTTGATGGCACGAAGCTGCTGTGTGGAAGGCCCTTGATCGCAGTTTACAGGTCGCTCGATGACGTCCACATGGAGGCGTCCGACCTTTTGATTTGCAAGCAATGCGGGCGCGCAGCATGACCATAAGTGCACCAGAAAATCGGTGTGCGCCAGAAAATCGGTGTGAGCGGGCGTCTGCGTTCTCAGGGATTGGACCTGGCTGTTGCCAGACCGAGACTCCATATGCTGGGGAATGTAATCGGATGCGGTGTTCAAGCAATTTCCAATGCAGGGTCATACCAAGCGAGTGGGAGAAGTGGGTCATCCCATGAATCGGACCCACTCTGGTGTGGCAAGCGACCTGCGACAACTAGGGCACGGTTGGATGAGTGGAGAGTTCTTGCAGTCTCAGCTATCGAGAATCTGGCTAGGGTCAGCTCGAAAATCCTTTTGCTGGGGAAACTCTGATCGACTGCCACACATTCGTCCTTGTGAAAGGCGGTTGCCGTGCCGTTCGACGGTTGGAATGTTGGGGGTATCCCAACAAACGATTCCACCTTGGTGCAGCAAACGAACTGCAATACATCGTGCCATTGATTAGCCGTTGTAGAGAGAAGATGGCGACAGCTGAATTGGAGAGCGTGGCAGAGTTCAAACGGAGGGCGTCAGCCTTGGGGGTCACCGACGACCACCTCAAGGCGTTGGTCGATGCCGGATTCGATACCTTCGGCCAATATGCTTTTGCGGTTCCATATGTCCCAGGAGCTGCGGACGAGAAGCCGGTCGACCTCCTCAAGAAGACGTTCGGCGCTGACCCGAAGGACTCTGAGCTGGCATGCTTGAGGCGCCTATTTTGGGAGAGCTATGCTCTCGCGTTGGCTGACTTGAAGCAGAGACAGGAACATGGGTCGGACAATGTTACGAAGAAGCTGCCGACCTCAGAGCGGGTAGCCAGAGCGCAAGAGCAGAAAAAGAGGCTCAGCGGGGTCATTTGGGGACCGGACACAGAGCCCTCGGACCAGCTGGTGGACCGCTTTGTCCAGATGGCTGAGGACAATGTGGCGGTGTACGTGAAGCCTGAGCTGTGCGCATCTCGCTCTCAGGAAGTGCTTCAGGTCAAACAGGCCAAGAACTTTTCGATTGGCCCTGATGGCAACCTGAAGGTTGGACAAGCAGCTCCGGACTTGACTTGCAGCACTTCGGGTGAACTCAGACTTCGGGCAGCGCTGCATCGTAAAGCCCTAGCAATGGACCTGTCTGGAGTACTGAGTTACAAAGTGTCCGAACTTTGGCACACTAGTCTCTTTACATGCTTGCAAAGGGAGGCACCTCCGGGCTACAAGGCAGTCACGATCAATCAGATTATGGAGGCGGACAAACGTCTGTGGGTGCTCCTCTCAGAATGCACCAGGGGCTCCGTAGCATCCAAGCTTGGTAGCCCGCCACCTTGCGACTCGGAGTTCACGAAGCTCAGCGATTCTCAGGAGATCCTTTCGTTTCTTGCCCCTCTACCTCTTCCCCCTCCGGTGCCAGACTTCACGCGGCCTCGCTTTGAGCCATATCCGGATCCGAAGGGCAAGGGAAAGGGCAAGAAGGGAAAGGAGCCCGGCAAGGTTGCAGCTCCAGCTTCCTTCGACATCCCGGAGGGGGCAAAGACAAAAACAGAGGATGGAAAGCCGCTGTGTTTTGCATTCAACAGGGGGAAGTGCTGGCACTCCAAGAAGACTAAGCCTGGCAAGCGCTGTCCGAAAGGCTTCCATAAATGCTGGATTTGTCTTCGCGACCGACCAGCCACAGAGTGCACGCACTCTAACTGACTCCCTGCCGATGGGGGCTCGCTGGCTTCCTCTTCTAAGAAGAGGGGATCTTCCGTGATGGACACGAGTGGCGACGCCCCTCCCGATCTTCAGAAACCTGAAACCTTGGCAAAAGAAATTCTGGCAAACATTGTTTCCCCCGCAAAGCTTTGCGAGTTGTTTGCTTCCTTGCCTTTGGAACCCGAAACTAAGGGTTCCGGTGCTGGTAGATCTTTCTTTTCGGGGTTGTACTCTCGAGTTAAAACTGGACTCAGAGCCAACACCAACCTCTTTCCCGAAAGCGCGAAGGCCTTCAATACGTATGTGAGGTCCATCTCACCCGAGCACAGGTGGACTTCCATTGCTTTGTTTGAGAATGTTCAGACAGAGCTGCATCGAGATGCATTGAATTCGTCATGGCCAAATCTCGTCATTCCCATCAGTGACTTCAAAGATGGATCCGTGTGGGTTGAATGGCCCGCTCACACTCCGACAGACCCCACCTTGGCATACGAGGTCCGAGAGCTTGATGGCACCATGGTTCTTGGAGCTCTTCTTCCTGTAGCAGATGGTCCAATCAAATTCGGGGCGAAGCAGTTGCGGCATGAAACTCAGGAGTTTTCTGGTCGCCGTCTTGTCCTGGTTGCGTACAGCCTGCAAGCTCTGGGGAATGCCTCGAACGAGGATATCAAGAATCTGGAAGAATTGGGTTTTCAAGTTCCTCAGTCGGACGAACACCCGGCTTCCCCTGTGCCTGCGGCCCTGAAGAGCACAATAAGCGGTTCTGACAAGCCGGTGATCATTGAGGTCTTCGCTGGATCGGCAGGAATAACTCGTGCTGCTCGAGATGCTGGCTTCAATGCCATTGCAGTTGACTGGAGCAAAAACAAACATGAATCCAAGGCGACCGCCTTGAATATTGATCTCAGTTCCGAAGTTGGTGAGCAGATGCTCTTCTCCCTGTTGGAGGAGAAAAAGCCTAAAGCAATCCATGTTTCCCCTCCGTGTGGGACTGCGTCCTTGGCGCGGGAGTGCCCCATGCCGGCTCATCTGCTTCAGCAAGGGGCACCATCACCCAAACCATTGCGGAGTCCTGAGTGGATCTGGGGACTACCCCACCTGACAGGGTTCGACAAGGATAGGGTCGAAACTGCAAACAGGCTGTATCGCTTCACAGCCCGACTAATGCTGTGGTGCTTGCAGTTTGGATGCCTGGTTTCAATAGAAAATCCTTCAGGCTCGTATTTTTGGGCCTGCCTCGTTGACTGCATTCGCGCACTAGGCACAGTTGCCTGCCGCCTCTACAACACTTTGGAGCATGTGGTGTTCAGCAGCTGTTTGCACGGAGGATCGAGGGAGAAATCCACAAAATGGCTCAGCTCCCCAGGAGTATTTTCTTCCTTAGCCGGCGAATGCCCGGGTGAATCGGCCACTCACCAGCACTTGCCCTATGGTGTCCATCGAGCAAAGAAGCGCTGGCACTTTGATACAGCTTCGGAAGGAGCCTATCCTGATCTCTTGTGTCTCCGCGTGGTGCACTCTCTTGCTGCCACCTTAGGGTTTAGTCCCGTCCCTTCCCCTAGGGTTGCCGACCCCATAAGTCAAAGCCGCAAGTCACGCCGTCTCCTTCCAGAGTACGCTTACGTCACGAGTTGCGATCCTCGTGAGCTGCATCAGTCCCCCATAAGGTTTTAGGCCCTTCCTTAGGGGGTGGTGATCGGGGCCTTCCCCAGAGGACTTCCGGTTCTAGGACCTTAGACCTCAGTTTGGTTCCCCCTGCAGGTGATGTCTCTTTTGCGGATGGCAAATCTTCCTCTGAACACTCCTCCCCTGCGAGGATGGAAGTTGGTATCTATGCCACACCGGAGGAGTATCTGGAGATGGCGCGCAAATTAGCACATCCGCTTGACGGTGACCTAGCGGTCTCAGACTGGACCAAACAGGCGATATTCGATCTCCTCACGATGCACCCGTCATTCATTGCCAGAAAGCGGGCAGACTTTCTGAAATATGTCTTGGAGATGCGCTTGAAGCTGGAGACGGAAGAAGCCGCCCTCCACAAAGCAATGGCACCCCACGTCCAAAGGGTTATGAAGGGAAAGAAGCTGCTACTCCTTAAACACCTCTTGACGGAGTTTGGATATGACGATCTGGGGGTAATGAACGAGCTGATGCACGGTGCGGCGATGACGGGGGTTCAAGAGGTCCCCCCGGAACGGAAAATCTTGGCTGCTCCCTCTAATCGGCAAACCCTGGAGTCAGAGGCCAACTGGCGCACTAGGACGATAGTGCAGCGCTCTACTCCAGAAGAGGATCGCGAAGCACTTGCTGCCATGGGGAACAAGGAGGTCGAGGCTGGCTTCCTTTCTGGCCCTTTCCATTCTGCCAAAGCAGTTACGGAGGAGCTGGGAAGATCGGACTGGCTTGCCAACCCGAGGTTCATACTGTATCAGGGTGCAAAGGGAAAACCTCGAGTCATTGATGATGCGAAATCGTCTGGCCTCAACGATGCCTATACGTCAGGGGAGCAGCTACGTCTCCAGGACATAGATTACGTTGCCCTCATGTGTCTCCAGGGGCCGGATGTCTGCAAAACCCGTTGTGTCGGTCACTTTGAGCTCAGGCCAGGTCCTTTGCGGAAAACGGGCTATGTCCAAACCCTCTTGGAAAGGGAGAACATTAGACCTTCGAAAGGCCTACAAGCAAATGGCCGTGGCCAGCGCTGACAGGCATCTTATGGTCTTGACTCATGAGGGCCCATCCGGTCGGGTCTATTACATTTCGGATGCCCTCCCTTTCGGAGCTAGGGGCAGCGTCTATTCCTTTCTGCGCACATCTCGAGCTTTGTCATTCCTCATGAATGTTTGCCTGGTGGTCCCTGGGGTCTGTCTTCTTTGACGACTTCCCTTCGCTGACGGAGGCTTCATCTTCGACCTCTGCATTCAAGGGGCCTCACGCTTTGCTTACTGCGCTTGGCTGGCTGTTCGCTGACGACCCTGAGAAATGCCAACCCTTCAGCTCGTGTTTCAATGTGCTGGGCTGTTGCCTCGACCTGAAGGACCTTGTAGCCGGCTCACTCGTCATGTCCAACCGCGAGGGACGTGTGGACAGAATTCGGTCAATGGTTCAGAAGCTGTGCTCAGACAACACTCAGCGCAATTTGATACCGGTCGTTCAGGGATATTTGAACTTCGCTTCCGGCTTCATCATGGGGCGTGCTCTTCAGCCACTGGCCCGATCCTTGAGCTGGAAGATGAGTCCAAGTGAACATCAGGATTTGTGCCGTGCAATTTTGACAACCTTGGGGAAGTGCAAGCCTCGAACCGTGTCTTGGCACTCGCCGGCACAACCTGTTTTGATCTTCACGGATGCCTCCTATGAAAGCGGCAAATCTGGAATCGGTGCTGTCCTTGTTGACACGCTGGGTGGAAGGCCGGAAGTCTACGACGGGGAGATCCCCGCTGACATCGTTGGTCACTGGCAGTCCACAGGGCAGGATCAGATAATAAGCCAGGCAGAGTTGGCGGTCGTACTGATAGTCAGACACATGTTTCAAACACGTCTGGCCGGCCGCAGAGTCATTTATTTCATCGACAATGAGGCCGCCCGTCATGCCATCCTTAAAGGAACGAGTGGCAAAGATTCTATGCAACGTTTGACGGCCGCTTTTCATGCTGCTGACTTGCATCTTCCTTCGATAGCCTGGGTGGAGAGAGTTCCCAGTGATTCGAACCCAGCTGACGCACCGTCTCGGGGTAAAGCATCCGAATGCGCTAAGACCTTGGGAGGCATTTATGCCGGAAAGATGTGCATGCCAGAGGAAGTGCATCAGGCGATTAAATCGTCCTTGGTGCAAACGTCTTCCCTTACGCGGCTCCCGTTGCCCTGTGAACCCTTGGTCTTGTTGCCTGGCCTCTCTGCCTGAGAAATGGGCGGTGGACGGGGCATCCGAGGCTAGTGCAATCACTTCGGCATCGAGAATACCCGGATGGAAAATGAAGGGAGCGAGTGACTATCTGCATGCGTGTTCTGTGAGTTGCGCTTGTGATTACATTCAGTTAATGCGGTCTTGCGATTACACTTCGTTGATTGCAATTTTTCATATGGCCGCTATTTGAAACGTTTCCTGATTGCACTTTTTTCGTCGGTGGATACTGAAATATGTTCGGTGGAGGATTGAAATATTTGATGAAATATTTTCCCGTCCATTAACTTTCAACCTCACTCTGCGAAGCATGGGCTTTTGGGAAACACAAAACCAAGAATGACCGGAAAACGTGCACTGCCAAAGCCATCCTGGAAAGGGAGAACGTTAGATCTTCGAAAGGCCTACAAGCAGATGGCCGTTTCCAGCGAAGACCGGCGCCTCATGGTGTTGACTCACTTGGGCCCCTCGGGTCGGGTCTTTTACATGTCGGATGCCCTTCCCTTCGGAGCTCGTGGCAGTGTGTATTCCTTCTTGCGTACTTCCCGGGCCCTGTCCTTCCTCATGAATGTTTGCCTAACCGTGCCGGGATCCGTCTTTTTCGACGACTTCCCTTCCTTGACAGAGGCTTCGTCTGCGAGCTCAGCTTTCGAGGGGCCCCATGCTTTGCTGACTGCCCTTGGATGGCTTTATGCTGATGATCCTCAGAAATGCCAACCCTTCGGCTCTTGCTTCAATGTGCTGGGCTGCAGCCTCGATTTGAAGGACCTCGTCTCAGGCTCGCTCATCATGTCCAACCGTGAGGGCCGTGTAGATGGCATCCGTTCAATGGTGCAAAAGCTGAGATCCGATGGAAGTCAACGAAACTTGATACCCATCATACAAGGACACCTGAACTTTGCTTCCAGCTTCGTCGTGGGCCGCATGCTGCAACCACTGGCCAGGTCCTTGAGTTGGAAGATGAGCCCTGACGATCATGCAGACCTGTGCAGCGCTATCCTTGACACCCTAGGGAAGTGCAAGCCACGTACCGTCTCCTGGCACTCGCCGGCGAAGCCTATTTTGCTCTTTACGGATGCTTCCTATGAAGGTGGCAAGTCGGGAATCCGTGCAGTCCTGGTCGACACGCTCGGGGGGAAGCCGGAGATCTTCGATGGAGAGATTCCCGAGGATGTCATCCGACACTGGCAGTCAACGGGGCAGGAGCAAGTAATAAGCCAAGCGGAGTTGGCCGTCGTCGTGATGATGCGGCACATGTTGCGAACGCGGTTGGCCGGACGGAGAGTGATATACTTCATTGACAATGAGGCTGCCCGGCATTCCACCCTTAAGGGAACTAGTGGGAAGGATTCTATGCAACGCTTGACGGCCGCTTTCCATGCGGTTGATTTGCATCACCCCTCCATCTCCTGGGTGGAGAGGGTGCCCAGTGAATCGAATCCTGCTGACGCTCCATCCCGGGGTAAAGCTTCCGAATGCGCTAAGACCTTGGGAGGCACTTATGCCGGAAAGATATGCGTGCCAGAGGAAGTGCAGCAGGCGATTAAATCGTCCTTGGTGCAAACGGCTTCCCTCACGCGGCTTGCTTTGCCTTGCGAATCCCTGGTCTTGTTGCCTGGCCTGTCTGCCTGAGGAAAATGGGCGGTGGACGGGGCATCCGAGGCTAGTGCAATCACTTCGGCACCGAAAGCACCCCGATGGAAAAATATGAATGGAGCGAGTGACATTCTGCAGAGTTGCATTTCTGATTGTGCATATGTGATTACATTCAGTTATGCAGTCTTGCGATTACATTTCGTTAATTGCATATTTGATACGGCCGCGCCTTGATAGTTTTCCTTGATTGCACTTTTCCCTTTTTGCCGATATTTTGGTGGAGGATTGAAATAATTGATGAAATATTTTCCCGTCCAATAGCTTTCAACCTCACTCTGCGAAGCATGGGCTTTTGGGAAACACAAAACCAAGAAGACGGGCGTCAACTAGTTGATACCTCTTTCTTGTGTTTTGTGCAGCGAGATCCGAGCGTTTCCCAAAAACAAACTTTTAAAAGTATTCTGCCCGTGCTTGAGTGATTTTTCGTGGTTGTTCTTTTGGACGTTGGGAAGAAACTGGCTTTGAGCATTTTGACTTTCCGGTCCACATGTTGGCAACTCGTTGGTTGTCCTGTGGCTGTCAAATGCTCAAGCTTTTAAATTTTTGATCCCACCCACCATCCCCCTCGGGGCATCCGAGGCTAGTGCAATCACTTCAGCACCGAAAGCGCCCCGATGGAAAAATATGAATGGAGCGAGTGACGTTCTGCAGAGTTGCATTTCTGATTGCGCATATGTGATTACATTCAGTTATGCAGTCTTGCGATTACATTTCGTTAAGTACATATTTGATACGGCCGCGCCTTGATAGTTTTCCTTGATTGCACTTTTCCCTTTTTGCCGATATTTTGGTGGAGGATTGAAATAATTGATGAAATATTTTCCCTGCGAAGCATGGGCTTTTGGGAAACACAAAACCAAGAAGGCCTTGTCTTGAAAGAAATGCTGGAGGCAGGCTCTGACCTCTACGGCGAGTTGGCTGGCATGGGATCCAGGAAGAGGGCGGCAGTGAGCAAGGCCCCGAAGGCTTCCAAGCTTCGGAATACAGATCCATGGAAGTGGCGTAACGTCATCTTGCGAGAAGGGGATATTTAAAGAAAGGGTGCGTTATGCTACCCTTTATGTTGATGCAGAGGCGGCTGGCTTCTGCATGGTTCCCCTCCGGTTTCCACAAAACCTGAATTCACTCGTGAAGAGAGTTGGAGAAAAAAAGATGACGTTGCATTTTCTACATGTTCTTTCTCTGCTGTGACCGCTGGAGTACATTGACATTCCTGAATAAAAGATTTTGTGTATCTTGGCGATTCGGATGATATATTTGAGTCATGGATTTTCGGGTTAAATTTTTGTAACCCAAATTTTTGGCCGGCTAAACTCGCGATGTGGACGCGT